CCCCAAAACCCCAAAACCCCAAAACCCCAAAACCCCACAGGGCCCAGAGAGGATTGAAAGATAGCAAAAAATATGTTAAGCTTGGAAGAAAGAGTCAGAATTAGCACTCTTTGAAGTGTTAAATCGATTCTTAGTCCTTCCCTCGACTTCTTTCCTGATTCTTATCGTGATATCTTTAGCTAAAGCCATTGTATCTGTTCTGTAGATGAGGAAGAGGTATGAGATTCCTACAAATGCGAGACCGAGTGGCATCCCTCCCCAGATACCATAGATTCCCAAGTGGAATTTAAAACTGAATAAAATTGTGAGAGGAATAGCGATTATCCAAAATCCAATGATTGCAAATATTGTTGCATAATTTTGGATTCCCATTGCTTTTATAGTCCCTTGAGAAATCTCTTGGATATAATCTCCAAAGGTTCACAAAGAAATTAGAGGCATTCCAGCGACCACAATATCAATTACATCTTGGTCTTTTGTAAACAAGCTAGCAATTGGATATCTGAAAATGAACATACTTGCACCAAGAACAAGGCTAAATCCCAACGCAATATAAGTAGCGAGATCTCGATACATGTTGACGTTGTTAACGTTCATTGCTCCGAGGTTATTCCCAACAAGAGTGTTAGAAGCATATCAAAACCCAAGAGGTGCCATACAAACAAAAGCAGCAACATTTAACAGAATCACTGAAGCAGCGAGTTCTTCTTCGCCAACAACTCCCGCGATCATTGCTCAAACTTCAAAAGCTCAGTACTCCAGAGCTGTAAGGAGCATGGCTGGAACCCCATACTTCATGTATTCTCCAAGACCAGTAAAGGAGTCCTTATTAATCCAGTGCATGCTGTTTTTCTTTACAGAGTCCTTCTTTAATGTGACATACACAAGAGGCAAAAGGTAGTTCATAAAGTAAGTGATCGAGGTGGCAATGGCGACCCCATTCACTGACAGATCCAAAGCATGTACAAATAGATACAACCACAAGGGATGCATGATTCAATTAAAAATCTGAAAGTTAGTTACAATGTAAAATTCTCCCTGAGTTCCAAGGAATCTCCTCAACAACTCTGTTTGACAATATCCCCATACTCCAGGTATGAGGATTTTTACAAAGATCCCAGCTATCTCTGCAGATCTTACTGGCTGACCAACTGCTATCAAAACTGGGGTGATAAAATAAAGAAGTATTGCTTGTGGGATAAACAACATGACTAACACAACTTGAGCTCTTCTGTAATATCAACCTGCAAGATAATTCTTACCATTCCCAAAAGCCTGTGAAGAGAGTGTCTCAACTCCCCCAGCGAGACCCATGCCAAGTGATATAGTTGTTATAGTGATTGTAGTAATTCCAAGACCTGCTCCAGAAATAAGAGTTGGATCTCCAAGACTTCCAATAACGATATAGTTAATAATATCAATGACTCTTCTGAGGAGCATTCCTCCTGATGAAGGTATGGCATACTTCACCATCTGAATCAACCCTTGGCCATAGGAGATTTCTTCAGCGTCTCTAACCATTGCTGAAATATAACTGTCCAAGTTGCTAGAGCTCTTATGTGAGCTTCCTAAAGATGCATTAATAAAATCTTGGCATGAAAATATAAGCCTTCAAACATAGCCTAGGTTTTACCTGAGAACAAGGACTCTGAGCTCTTGTCTGACATCTCGATTTCAGAATCGGACATATTTTTTAGATTCATAACTTCTATATTATATTTTCAGCGTAAAATTGATGACCCGGGGTTTTGGGGTTTTGGGGTTTTGGGGTTTTGGGG